AACATTATAGAGTTAAAAGCACAATCTACTTTCCAAGCCATTCTGTGTATGATAATAGAGGATGGTTCTTTGCATTCAGAAAAACATTAATCCTGCCTCTGACTTCAAAATAATCGTAATAAAATTTACTATGGTTAATATTTGCATTTTAAAATTCTTAATGAAGACAAAAATCACTATGAAAGAAGTAGACAATATTAACAGTCTCATATATCTACTAAAAATAAAGTTTGTAGATAAAACAATCTTAATTCCACCTTTAAAAAAAGACAAATGAAATAAAATTAAAAACTACAGTGGCAGATAGATTCACTGGTGAATTCTATGAAAAAGAAACCCAAACATCATGACCAAGTTTGTGTTATTGTAGAATTACAAGGGTGCTTCAACATTTGAAAAGTCATCGCTGTACTTTTCCATACTTGGAAAGTAAAAAGAAAGAAAACATATCATCTCAATAGATCTGGCAAATTATAGCATCTGTTTTGTAAAAATTAATTTTATTTTTTATAATTGGCATGTATTTGTGCTCATTATGGTGTACAGTATTGTAACTCTCTCTCTCTCTCTCTCTCTCTCTCTATATATATATATATATATATATATATATATATATATATATATATATATATATACATACACACACTGTATGACAATCAAATCAGGTAGTTAGCATTTTCATGGCTTTGAATATTGTCATATTTATGTGTTGGAACCTTCAAATTCTTGTTCTCTAGCTATATTGGAATATGTACCTAATTGCCATAGACTGCATAAACTGTAGTTGTCCTATCACACTACATGATATTAGAGCTACTCCCCCAGTGTAGTTTATAACTTAGGTGTTCCCCCACAGCTCATGTGTGAAGGCTTGCACTCTAGAAGATGGAGGGGAGGGAGAGGTGGCTATTTGGATGGTGGCTTTAGGAGGTAGAACCTAGTTGAAAGCAATTGGGTCACTGGGACTGTGCTCCTAAAGAAGATTGGGATCCCAACTCATTTCTATCACTTTCTGCTTCCCAGTCACCAAGAGATGAGCAGCTTTGCTCTACCAAGCACTCCCTGCCATGGTGAACTACCGTGCTGACAAAGCAACAGGAACAAGCAACCATGGAAAAATTGTGAGCCAAAATATATATTTTACCCACTTAAGTTGATTTTCTCAGATATATTTTCACAGTGACAGAAAGGTGACCAAACTTCCCCTTCCTAACCTTTGGTGACTTCTATACTCTCTACTGCTATGGGATTAACTATTTTTGGTTTTCACAAATGAATGAAAACATTCACAAGTTGTCTTTCTTATTCCAGTAATTGCCTGACATATTTCACATAACCTCATTTTCTCTAGTTGCTGGAAATGACCAGAGTTCATTCTTTTTATGGCTGAATAATATTCCATTGTGTATGTATGCATCTTTTTCTCAAGTTTTTTCCTTTTTATTTCCTTCTTTATTAAGAGTCACTAAGTGATTTTGGGTCTTGATTGGTATATTATAGAAAGTCTGAGGAAAAGAACAAAATGGAACTTCCCACCAATGACAGTACCTATCTTTTTAGGGTTATAACAAAGGAAATTATTAATTTTTTGTTATCTGCTTTTCTTTAGAACATAAATCAAAGCCACTAACTTGAATTTGAGGTGTATACATAATACATACACAATAATATGTGAAGTACTTTATATATAAATAGTTACTACATTTTCAAGTACTGGAAACAATATCTGTGCTAAGATTTATTTTGACTGAATGGAACAAGAAGGGATCAACCTTCAACTAAATAGGGTTATACTGATAACAAATCTCTTAATGTAAAAAATATATTCCTTTCAATTTTTATTTGCTGCAGGCTACACCATGTCCTGAATAGATTCATTATGGGGAAACTGTCAAACACAGCTTTACTATCTTACTTTGAAAGGAAATAAGAGAAAATAAATTGGAAGGTAAGACTTCATCTTTGTTTTCATATAAGTAATGTTGATTTTTCTTCCTATCAAAAAATTTAAATCAACTTATAATAAATATATCCACCAAAAAATTTAGATCAGTTTATGATAAATATATCTAAACCATTAGATAAATATATTTAATTTTGTTTGTTGGTGGGGATTGAACCCAAGGCCTTGTGCATGTGGGGAAAGAACTCTACCAACTGAGCTATATCCTCAGCCCAGATAAATATATCTAAGCCATTCATCTATATATATGTATTTATCAACTTCTAATAAGAGTCCCCATTGACATGGTGATTCTTGAATGGATGATATCACGTACAAAGATGAGAAGTTCTCTAGTGTCCTATTTCCAAAGACTTTTTTGTGTGGTGCTGGGTATTGAGTCCAGATCCTTGTGCATGCAAGGTAAGCACTCTACCAGCTAAGTTGTATACCCAGCCCTTTCCATAGACTCTTTATCCATAAAAGGCTGGGCTTTACCAAAGGGCTGCAAAAGTTAATGGTTTACGTATATTTATCATAAACTGTTCTAAACCTTTTCAAAAGGAAGAAAATTTAATCTCACTTATTTCAAAAAGTGAGAGATTTATGCTAAAGCCTTGAATTCTTTAACATCTTGATTGTTAACAAAAATTAATAATCCTAGTTATTTTTAGGTTCTGATGCACTGAACATTTTTATGGAGTTCTTCTCTAGTTATAGAAGTCCTCTTTATGTCCACAACAGCTATTACAAACTCCATGTTAACATAATAAGTGTTCCAGGTAAAATGAATTGATCATCTGGTCATCAATATCCAACATCGGTAATGTGTATTTTTAACCATCCTCTCTTCTACATTACCTTTTATGGTAATATTTACAACTTAACTCACAGAAAATTTGTAAAGAATGTTGGTTTTCCCTGCACTAGCCAACTCAACAATGATAACAGTGCTCCTGGCAATTAAATTATCTCCATGTCTGAGTGAATAGAATTCCCATTCTTGAGCAGTGGACCCCTCTCCAGCCACCCGACTTGCCTGTCCTCCTTTGGCCCAGGCTGAGGTTGGGGAGATACACCTCTGATTTTCTGCTTCAGTGCTAGGTGCCACCTGCTTCTAAGGAAGCAAAAGCCTAGGCCACCTTGCTTCTGGCCAGACCCCATCTGTAGCATCCATCTGACTCAGGGACATCACTGCTACATGGTTGGCAGTGAGCCTCATAGACCACCATACTTCCCCAGATCTCCTCATTTAAAATTCCATTCAAATGATTATCTTTGACATCTTGCTAAGTCCATAACTTGTCTATTGTGAATAGTGTTGTAGTAAACATAAGCATGCAGATATCTCATTGATAGAATGATATCCTTAGCTTTGGATATATATTCCTAGTGGTGAGATTACTGGATCATGGGATAATTCTACTTTTAGTTTTTGAGCACTCACCACGCCATTTTTCACAATGGCTATACTAGTTAATATTCCCATCAACAGTGTATGAAATTTAACCCTTCTCTGGATCTTGGCTAGCATTTGTAATTTTTGTCTTTTTGATAATATCCACTTTAACTGGGATGAGATGATATCTTATTGTAGTTTTGATTTGCAGTTCCTTAATGACTAGTGTTGGCCATTTGAAAAACATCTATTTAGACCATTTGCCTATTTTGAAATCAGTTTTTTGTTGTTATTTAGTGGTTATCACCCAATCATCACTGTTGGGTGTGTGGGAGACTCCCCACCGAAGTTAAATTTCAGTCTTGCGTAATCCCTTACCCCTCCCCTCCTCTCTGAAGGGTGCAAAGCCAAAGAGCAGTCAAATTTAAACATTTCCTCCACCAATCCCCATAAGACACAGTGTCTGCTAGCAGTTTCTGAGTCACCTTGCCAATCAGCACCCACCATGTCACCTATGCAACACTTCTTAGGCCGAGGCTTGCAAGCTCACACTCCCTGGCCTCTTTCTCTTCTTTATCTCCTCTCTTTACTCTCTTTCTCTGTCTCTGCTCTCTTCCTCTCTGCCCTCCTCCCCTCCTTTCTCTGCTCTCTGCCTCTCCTTTTCTTCCCCTTCAGCAGACCCCAATAAATCTCTTGGTTGAATCTCCGTCTCAGATGCGTCACTCACCTTTCAATCATCACTTTTTTGATGAATAGTTTATAAATATTTTCTCCCATTCTGTAGGTTGCCTTGACTCTGTTGACTGATTCCTTTCCTGTGCAGAAACTTCTTGGTTTGATATTATCTTATCTAGTTTTGTTTTCACTGTTGGTGCATTGGGAGGATCTATCAAAAAATTGGGTTTTTTTTTTCAGTTTCAATGTTTTCAAGTGTTTTCCTTAAGACTTCTTTTAGTAGTTTCATAGTTTCAGCACTTACATTTAGATCCTTGATCCACTTTGAGTTGATTTTTGTGTGTAATGAGAAGTAGGATGTAGTTTCATTCTTCTATATGTGTATATCCAGTTTTTCCAGCATGGTTTGTTAAAGTGATGATCTTTTCTTCAAGGTGTGTTCTTGGTGCCTTTGTAAAACATCAGATGTCTATAAATATGGGAATTAATTTCTGGATTTTCTGTTCTGTTTCAATGCTGTGTGCTTCTGTTTTTATACCAGTACCATATTCTTTTGATCACTATGGCTTTGCAATTTGTATTGAGATAATGTGTTGTATGAATTTTTATTTACTGTAGCAGAATAAATAATAGGATTAAGAATTTTTGTTATTTTGGCAAGTGAAAGTTGGTATTTCATTTTAGTGTATATTTATTTGATCACAAATTTAGAAATATTTTCTTATACTTATTTTTATGTGGCTTTTTCCCTCTGAGAATTATTTGCTCTTGCTTTTGCCCACTTTTGCATTGAAGTATAATTTTATTCCTAATTATATGTTAAACACATATATATATGTATGTGTTGAATTCATCAATCATATAAATAGTGATTTAGTGTCTGACAATATTTATAATATTATAAAGTGATTCATATTAGTGGTTTAAAGTGTGAAGCCAGAAAGATTCCAGGGGAAAAACAATAAAATATTATCACAAATAGAGTCATTGCAAATATTTTTGTAAATTTATTCCCAGATAGCTAATCAATACTATTTATTACAGAATATTTCAATTGATAAGTGTTTTTTTGGTGCCAAAAATTTCATATATTAAGTGTTGATTTATACACAGTATGTTTTTTGGAATTATTATGATTTGTGGTGGCATTTACTATTACTCTTTGGATTCCTGTAATTTGATAAAATGTAGCACATGTTTCATGATATATGAGCCAGCCTCTTTGTTACTCCTTTTCCTTTTCTTGCTTTCAAATTTTATCTATTCAAAGTGACATACAAAATTATATGTATTTATTTTGTGCAACATGATGTTTTGCAGTACATGTGCATTGTGTAATGGTTAAATGTAGCTTATTAACCCATGCATTGCCTCATTTATTTGTGGCAATAGCACTCAGCCATCCTTTCAGCATTTTTCAAGAATACAATATGCTGTCATTAACTATAGTCAATATGTTGCACAACAGATCTTTTTTACTTACTTCTCCTACCTAATTGTAATTTTGCATCTTTTGAACATCTTACATTCACTCCCCCTACCCAAGTGCTCCAGTCTCTAGAAATCACCAACCTACTGTATTTTGAGATCAACATTTTCAGGGTTCATATATGAGTGAGTTATGTGGTATTTGTCATTCTCTGTTTGTACTTCCTACATCCCTTATCATAATCTCCTCCCTGTTCATTTGTGTTATTGCAAATTGCAGAATGTTCTTCATTTATATGGTTGAGTAGTGTTCCATTTCATGTAATATAAAACACTTTCTTAAAATATTCATCCTTTGAAGGACAATGAGGTGTGCTACAATTAACATGGAAGTGCAGGTATCTCTTTGGCATACAAACTCTATCTCTTTTGGATGTATTCAAAGTAATGGGATTGCTGGATCATGGAAACAAGGCTTCTTTTTCTATTATTAATTTCAAGATGAACTTCAAACTATTTGCAATGTCTTCCTTCAAACCAACAATTGTTTGGTGAGATTACAAAATCTCATAAATTATTTTGAGAAAATTTGTATATTGAGAGATTTTAGGTGGCATCCATTTGTCCATTAAATTTTTGACTAGTTTCATTGGCATAAAGAAGAATCTTGACTTTTTACTTCTTATTTTATTCTTCTTTGGATCAACTCTTGGGAAGTTGTTAAAACTGTGTTACTTTTGTGGAAGTATCTTCCTGCTTTACATTTCTTGAATATTTTGTGCTGGGAAGAAGAATAAAAAAAGAAGCAAAGGTGTAGAATAAGTGCACATATCCTCCATGCTAAATGATGAGCTTTGTAACAAGTTCTACTTGATATTGTTCTATCTCAATACTTGCTAGACACCATTGTGCTGGGAAAGGCCTTGATATCTGGGAATGCCTGGGAAGACAGTGTTGAGTATTGATACTCTTACCTTGTCAATTTATACATTTGGTTAATGACATTTTGGGGGGAAAAAGTCAAAGTGAAATTAAGAATTTCTGAGGGCATTTTTTCATTTTTCCTCATTTCAAATTCTGTCATTCCACTTTTTCAATTTCTCCTTAAAATTTTCACTATACATGGCTTTAAATTGGATTAAATCTTATAGGATCTACTTCCTTTAGATATATTGTCATATTTATAAGTAAGGTTGTTCTGTTTTAGTCCTATAATCCTTTCAGACTTAAGCAGTAATCAACTTTGTATCTTTGAGGCATGCCATTTCCTCCCCATAATATATTGAGCACTCATTGGACTGATGCCTGATAACACCAAAAGTATGAGAATTAAGTATTTGAGTCTTCACATATTTACAAGAAAACACCAGAAGTGTGCTTTCCTTAAGGGCAGAGAGTGTGTGCCCTTCACCGTAGGACTAATTTTGACCTTTTCACTATTAAAGGACTGGTGCAAGATGGTCTGTGTGATGTAGTCTCAAAAGGAGTGATACAGCTTTGTGGGTAGAGGAGAGCTACTACTGAATTAAAGACATGGGTCAAGCAGAAATAGCTCAGATCTGAGTCTATGTGTAGGACAGATGGCTGCAAATGGTCATTTGCTTCTTCATCACAGAGCTATAGAACATAGTCACTTCCTACTCAGGTGATGACCAGGACATTTGCTTACTTATTTTCCACATCCTGGATGGTGTTAGCAAGAGGCTGATTCCTGGTTTCTGGAAGGGGCAAGATAACAAGGCCAGCAAGGAGGGTGATGACTCCATAGATGATCCAGGGCAGACGGAGAGAATACCCCAGTAAGGTCATCAGGAGAGGAGCCACTATTGCCCCTATTCTGTGGAATCCTGAAATGATGCCCATCAGTATTGACCTTAGGATGAAAATAACAAAACAAAGGAAATCTTTTACAAATCTGTATATATGTTGTCACTTGTCAACTCCATTTTCATTTGGGAAGACAAAACGGCAGTGTTATTGAACATATGGGCTTTGACAACCAGGTCTTAATTGTGATATTGACCACTATTGATTTCTAATTAATCATTTTCATCATAATTAAAACAAGAATATTAATAGCACCAATCCTGTAGAGTGGCTCTTCAGATTAAGTGAAAAACTGCAGTAAAAGACTTGGCACATTGTGAGGCATAAAGTCTGTTTTAAATAATTGTGGATTATTAGTTGCTTTTAAAATTTGTATTACAATTCATGTCTTGGACACATCAGCAGCCTCATTTTTATTCCTGTATTAAGTGTCAATTAGTTCAGAAAGTCCTGTTTGGAAAGCAGATAGAAGGTCTTTGAGCTCTTGTACCTGAATACAGTGGGGAGGAGCTCAATTTGGTGAAGAACATAACCAGTCATGGCAGCAGAAACAAATCCAATTCCCAAAGTTGCTAAAGATACACGCAGAGTCTGCATTTCTGGAGAGAAAGGACCAGGAAGAATAAAAAATCTTGGCTGAAGAAATATGCTATCTCTAACTAATTGTGAGGTGATTCTGTTGTAGTGTTTGCAGGTGAGAAACAAATGACAGACAAAATGCAACCCCTCAGAGATGATGGAGAGGTTGATGAGCATCTGAACACTGGGCTGAAACACTAAACAAAAGGATCTAAATCTCTTGCCTCAATTTTCTCTGCACATGTGTGTATTGCTCATAATGGTGGGAATAGAGAAATCAGGAAATATTTGTTTTATTAATTCTGTCAATGTTTTTCAGGGCATTTTCTGAAGGGCCTAGAACTATATGTGAACAAAAACTGAGGAGTTTATGACCCATGTCTTGAATAGCTTAGAACTAAGGTTATGAGAACAATGTGTGATGTGGGGCAGGTCCTCCTCCACATAGGGACAACGAGATTGGACAATCTGAAAAGAGGCAAGTTCTAGGCAATAATTCAGGATTTTAAAGGCCTGGTATTAGAAAGTCTGTTCAGAAGTGAATAATGTCATCCTGGGTATTAATCACATACTTTTGAATTACAGAATTAACAGAGGTTAAACAGATTATCTTTAATTCACTAAAATAATCAAAATAGGACTTTAAAAGAATACAGATTGTTCTCCTGTATGGCAGAAAACTTCTTTTGGGAGAAGAATGGAAACTTCCAGTCTGAAATCCTACAAAATATTTTCCTCCTCTGGGAACATGGTGGAGCATGGTGACCACAGAAATCCTACAATCATTAATGAGATCATTTGGGTAAATTAGTAAAATAGGTTGGGTTGTATTCTTAATCTGTTTCTAGTGTTTTTCCTAGTGCATTATTGCTATACATTATAGTGGGGTTCGTTGTGATACATTCATAAGTGCATATGACATAATTTGTTCCATTTCAACCCCTAGTACTTCCCCTTTCACTCTCTTCCTCCATCTCCCTGATCCTCTATTCTACTGATCTTCCTTTCATTTATTTATTGTTTTTAATTGGTGCATTATAATTACATGTAAAAGTAGAAGTCATTATTCATTTCTTCTCTAAGGACAAATTACAAAACAGATTAGAAGACATATTAAGATTAAATGATTCCCTTACTCCTGCTGTGCTCTTGCTTTCTGTCTGAAGACAAAGGATTTTTATTTCACTGAATACAAGAAACCTTTCCTAATAATATTATGAGTTAGGGAGGCCTTAAAAATAAGGAAGAGTCTCAGGGAGAGTATCACATGCCCACTTGGAGATGCAGTTGCAAGGCCTACATCCTCCAGGATTATTATGAAAATTGTCATTAGCCAGAGGCATTAGCTCCTCTTCTAAAGACACTGTTTTGTACCATTGGAACTGCTGTTCAGGTTCATCTTGGATGTGGTCAGGACAGCTTTGTGTCTGAACCATACCTTAAGGACATAGGCACAGTTGGAGCCTAAGTCCTTCCAAGAGCTTGCCATAATCCATTTCAAATCTTCATATTAACTACAAAGAATCCTTGGCTTTTAATGATATTCTTGTGCATCAGGCAGGTAACATAATTTAATTCCTAAGGAATGAGGGAAACACTTTCTTTCCCCAAACCTTGTTCTCTCTCACCTTGGGGCAAAAATGTGTTGACTAGAATGGAAACTCCAGCCAGGAATGAGAACAATATCTGGTTTGTCCGACGACCCATGTAATTCAGAGTCCAAAGGGAAAGAAAGCTGGCTGTGAGCATGATGGCTCCAAAGAGAACCTGGAACAGGAAGATATTGCTCCCCAGGTGCTGCAGGTTGAGTACGAGGCCATAAAAGGATACAGCATTTGAAAATCTGAAGTGAAAGGAGAAGAGACATCTAATAACATTTAGAGCCTAAGGAACATTCCCTAAGATTTTGAAGGAGATTCCTACATGATAATTATATTGGCTCAAGATGGTAAATATTCAGTGATAATTGTAGAATGGAATAATAGAACAATTGTTTTTAAGGCAGTGATCTTAAATTACCATAGATTACCATGGGCTCTTTATTGTATAATTTTTACTGAGGCCACAAAAGAATATATAGCAGATACACACATATTCCAGTAAAAGTTAATTTTTGAACTGCTTAATTCTAGGCAGAAAAAGGTAATTTGAAATCTGAGCTAATCATTCAATTTAAGGGGATAAAGGAATGAACATAGATAGGGGTAGACATTCGAAATTAGGTAAATTGTTTCTTTGCAACAGTGAGTCTCTCTAGTTTGATCCCTGGTATGGAGTCCTTTTTCACCTTAATCCTAGTAAGTAAGGGTGCAGGGCACTAGGGAGAAGAGTTTTCCATGTGTTTCCTGGTTTTTAAGAGTATAACGACCTAGGCAGCTGCAGAGGTGTCCACCTAGCAATCCCAGTGACTCAGGAGACGAAGGAAGGAGCATTGCAAGTTCAAGGCCACTTTGGGCAACTTAGTGAGAGAATTACATTTATTGATTTGTATATGCTGAAACTAATTTGCATCCTGGGATTAATTCAACTTGATCACAGTGTACAATCCCCTTAGTGTGTTTTCAAATTCATTTTTCTAATATTTTTAGTAAGGATTTTTGTGTCTATATTCATCAGAGATGTTGGTCTGTATTTTTTCCCTCATGGTTTTGGCATCAGGATAATACTGATACTGGTTTCAAGGAATTAATTTGGAAGTATTCCCTCACTTTCTATTTTATGATATAATTTGATGATGATTGACATTAGTTGTCTGTTGAAAGTTTCCTTTATGTCTTCAATCTCATTCCCTGATATTGTTCTATTCATGTTTCCCATATTCTCTTTTCTCAGTATGAGTAAGTGATAGATGTCTAGAAATTGTCATTATCTTCTAGATTTAAAAATTTATTGGAATATAAATTTTTAAAGTAGTCCCTAATGATCCGCTTGATTTCAAAAATGTTTGTGGTGATATCGCCTTTCTCATCTCTAGTTTTATTAACTTGGTCTCTAAACTCTTTCTTTTGGCTAGTTTGCCTAAGGGTTTATCAATCTTTGAACTTTTTAAGGAATGAAGTATTTGTTACATTGATCCTCCCCCCACTCAACCCCACACTATTTCATTTATTTGTCTCTAAACTTTTTTCTCATTTTGGAGTTAGTTTTTTTTCCTGATTTTATGGCACATTGAGATATAATATTGGATCATTTATTTGGGACTTGTTTCTCTTTTTTTAATGTAGGCATCTACTTCTATAAAATTCCTCTCAGCAACAACTCTGCATAATGTCCCAGAACTTTTTAATGTTGTATTACTATTCTTGTTTGATTCTAGAAATTTATAAACTTTCTCTTATCATTTAATCTAAGACCCTTTTCTTTTCAAAAGAGAATTATTTATTCCCCATGTGCTTATGTAATTTCATGTTTATTTCTAATTGAATTCCATTATGATCTGATCAAAGGGATTATATTGATTATTTTGTATTTTCAAACACCTATAACTTAAAATATGGTCTATTTTGGAGAATGTTCAGTGAGCTATTGAGAGAAGGTGAATTTGCTTGTTATTGGATGAAATAGCCTATAATTTTCTGTTGGGTGCATTCAATTTATGGTATTATTTAGATCAGAAGGGTTGTGTTTGTTGTTTTTGTTGCTGTAAGCAAAATACCTGACTAGAAAAATTTAGAGGAATAAAAGCTTACTTAGTCTCATAGTTTCAGAGGTTCAGTCCATGGTCAGCTGTCTCCATTGCTCTGGGCCCAAGATAAGGCAGAAAGAACATTATGACGGAATATTGTTCACATTGTGGTAATCAGGAAACACAGAGAGACAAAGAGGGGCCAGGGAAACCAGATATAGTTTCCAAGGTCACACCCTCAGAGATCTACTTCCTCCAGCCACATCCCATCTACCTATTAGTAACACCCAGTTAGTCCATTCAAATTATTACCCAGATAGGGGGGTGGCACATGCCTATAATCACAGCTGCATGGGAGGCTGAGGCAAGAGGATCATGATTTCAAAGCCTGCAAAAGCAAAAGCAATGTACTAAACAACTCAGTGAGACACTGCTTCTAAATAAAATACAAAATAGGGCTGAGGATATGGCTCAATGGTCAAGTGCTCCTGAGTTCAATCCCCAGTACCCCCAAAATAAAAAAAATTATTAATCCATCAAATGAATGAATCCTATGATAAGGTTACAGCTCTCATAATTAAATCATTCCACCTCAGAACATTAACACAAGAGTTTTGGCGGGGCACCTCATCCCCAAGCCATAACATATCTGTTGATTTTATATCTTATGAGAGGGACATGTTGAAATCACCAGTATTATTCCATTCAGGTCTATCTTAGACTTAATGTCAAGAAGAATTTATTTCATGTAATTAGGTGCACTGATATTTACTTTAGCCATAAATATCGCTATGATTATCTCTTCTTATTGGATTGTTCCCTTTACAAGTGTGTACTAACCTTCTTTGTCTCATCTGATTAACTTTTGCTTGAAATCTCTTTGTTACACATGAGTATAGTGACAACTACTTTTTTAACCCCATTAGCATAGAATATAATTTTCTTTCTTCCTCTATCAGCTTATGGCTATCTTTGTTGATGAATTTGCAAACAGCATATACCTGGGTCTTGTTTTTAAATACATTCTGTTTGTCTACAACTAGCAGAAGTTGAGCCCTTTTATTCAGAGTTCTTATGAAGAGATCATAATTATTTTCTGCCATTTTGATTTGTTTCATGTATTTAAATTTAAAAATTAGTAACTGCTCCTCTAGTGAGTGTAATCAATTGCAGAGCTTTGTAGTTTGTTTGCAAGTTCTTTTGTGTGTAGTATTTCTTTTTTAAAAAATTCTAAGTTGTTATATATGACAACAAAATGCATTACAATTCATATTCACATATAAAGCACAATTTTTTATATCTATGATTGTATACAAAATATATTTACACCATTCCTGTCTTTATACACGTACTTAGGGTAATGATGTTCATCTCATTTCACCATCTTTTTATACTGCCGTATGCCTTCCCTTATATCCATTCCCCTTTTCCCTATCTGGAGTTTGTCTAATCCACCCATGTTTTCCCTCCCAGCCCCACAATTAATCAGTCTCCTTATATCAGAGAAAACATTCAGCATTTTTTTGAGATTTGTTTACTTCACCTAGCATTATATTCTCCAGCTCCATCCATTTTCCTGCAAATGCCATGATTTTATTCTCTTTTATTGTTGAGTAATATACCATTATCTATATATACCACATTTTCTTTATCCATTCATTTATTGAAGGGCATCTAGATTGGTTCCACAATTTAGTTATTGTGAATTGTGCTGCTATGAACATTGATATGTCTATTTCCCTGTAGTATGTAGTTTTTAAGTCCTTTGGGTATAGACCAAGGAGTTGGATAGCTGGATCAAATGGTGGTTCCATTCCCAATTTTCCAAGGAGTCTCCATACTGCTTTTCATATTGGTTGCACCAATTTGCAGTCCCGCCAGCAATGTATGAGTATGCCTTTCCCCCCACATCCTCACCAACACTTATTGTTGTTTGTCTTCTTAATAGCTGCTATTCTGACTGCAGTGAGATGAAATCTCACGTAGTTTTGATTTGCATTTCTCTAATTGCTTCAGATGTTGAACTTTCTTTGTATATTTGTTGATTGATTGTATATCATCTTTTGAGAGGTGTCTGTTCAGTTCCTTGGCCCATTTATTCATTGGGCTATTTGTTTGTTGTTGTTGTTGTTGTTGTTTTGTTTTGTTTTGTTTTTGTTTTTTGGGTTTTTTTTTTTTGGTGTTTAGCTTTTTGAGTTCCTTATATACCCTAGAGATTAGTACTCTATCCATTGTAAGAGTGGTAAAAATTTGCTCCCAAGATGTTTCTTTTGCTCAGAAGAAGCTTTTGAATCCATCCTATTTATTAATTGTTAAATTTTAATTCTTGCATTATAGGAGTATTATTAAAGAAGTTGGGGCCTAATCTGACATGATAGAGATTTGGGCCTACTTTAACTTTTAATAGGCACAGTGTCTCTGATTTAATTCCTAGGTCCTTGATCCACTTTGAGTTGAGTTTTGTGAATGGTGAGAGATAGGGCTTTAATTTCATTTTGTTGCATATGGATTTCCAGTTTTCCTAGAACCATTTGTTGAAGACACTATCTTTTCTCCAATATGTTTTGGCAACTTTGTATAATATAACGGTAATTATGTGGGACAGTCTCTGTGCCCTCTATTCTGTACCACTGGTCTACCATTGTATTTTGGTGCCAATAGCATGGTGTTTTTGTTAGTATTGTTCTGTAGTATAGTTTAAGATCTTGTATATTGATACCATCTGCCTCACTCTTCCTGCTAAGGATTGCTTTAGTGATTCTGGGTCTCTTATTTTTTCCAGATGAATTTCATGACCACTTTTTCTATTTCTATGAGAAATTTCATTGGGGTTTTGATTGGAATTCCATTAAATCTGTATAGTGCTTTTGGTAATATGGTCATTTTGATAATATTAATTTTGCCTATCCAAGAACAATGGAGATTTTTCCATCTTCTAAAGATTTCTTTAATTTCTTTCTTTAGCCTTCTATTGTTTTTGTTGTAGTGGTCTTTAACCTCTTTTGTTAGGTTAATTCCCAAGTATTTTATTTTGGGAGGAGGCTATCACAAATGGGGTAGTTTTCCTCATTTCCTTTTCAGAGTATTTGTCACTGATGTACAGAAATCCCTTTGATTTATGATTTTGTATCCTGCTACTTTGATGAACTCATTTACTAGTTCTAGAATTTTTCTGTTTAAATTTTTGGTCTTCTATATGTAGAGTCATATTATCAGCA